TTTTCTTTTGTTAGGTTTGCCAATGGTTTGTCAATTTGTTAATCCTTTCAAAGAACCAGCTTCTTGTCCTGTTGTTTCTCTCTATAGGTTTTCTTTTTTTTTATTTCATTGATTTCTGCTCTAATCTTTATTAACTCTTTTCTTTTGATGGCTGTAGGTTCCCTCTGTTGGTCTGTTTCTAGTTGCTGAAGATGTTGTGTTAATGTGTTGATTTTAGTTCTTTCTTCTTTTTGGATGTGCACATTTATTGTAATCGATTGTCCTATCAGCACCGCTTTCGTTGTGTCCCAAAGATTTTAGTATGTTGTGTTTTTTTTTTTCGTTTGTTTCTAGGAACTTTGTGAGTTCATGTTTTACTTCTTTTACTACCCAGTCGCTTTTTAGCAGGGTGTTTTTCAGTTTCCATGTATTTGACTTTATTTCCTTGGACTTCGTATTGTTGATTTCTAATTTGATGGCATGTGGTCTGCGAAGATGCTTTGTTGTATTTTGATGTTTGTAAATTTACGGAGGTTTGTTTTGTGGCCTAACACATGGTCTCTTCTGGAGAATGGTCCATGTGCACTGGAAGAGACTGTGTATTGTGCTGTTTTGGGTTGGCTGCTCTGTATAGATGTATTAATTTTGAGGTAGTGATCCGAAGTTCATGAGGAGACGTCTAGTGAGCCCAATGAGAAACATGCCTTTTTGTGGAACACTGAGTAGTATTGGATGGAAATAGCATGAGAAAGAAAAGGAAGGGTAAATGACAAGACCTAATGTTTTTTAAAAATTAGTTTATTGTGTGTTGTGTGATAGTTGGCTCAGCGAAATAGTTTCCATTCAACAATTGTACACATTTTATTTCATAACATTATAGTTCCCTTAATACAACAGCATGCCTCCCACTTTCTCCCTGGGTTGTTCGTACCCTTTCTTCCTTCTTTCCTGCCTCCTGAGCTTTGTGTTTGTGGCTCTTTTTATGATCTCTTAGGGTTCACTGTCCCCAAGAGGACAGTCTTCATGAATGTTATTGTTTACTTCATAGGTGTGTCTTTGTTTGGCACAAAGGTGATCCTTTGGGGTGGGTGTCTAAGGGCCACAGTATTGGGTGTTCCACCCGTCTCTTTCAGACATCACCCCTAAGTCTGGTCTTCTTTACGGATTTGAATTTTGTTCAACTTTTTTTATTATTCTGTCTAGGACTGGTTTGGGTCCCAATCAAAGTGATATGTAACAGTAGCGGACACAGTCTAGTTCTTCAGCCAAGACCAAATATTGAGCACACCTACCCGTCAACAGTAGTGAGGTTGGCCCAGGATCTGACAGTGTTTTGTTCTGCTGTGCATAAGGTTGCTATGGGTCGGTACCGACTCGATGGAACCTAACAACAACAACAACAACATCAGTCACGAGTGGATGGAGAAAGAGGCAAAAATGAGATAGTTTTGAATTGTGAGTATGTGTATGTATGTGTGTGTACACACATATATGCATATACATACATACACATGCATAATGGGAGATGTGCAAGGAGTGTACTGCAAGACATTGAGAAGTTTAGCTGTTACTTATAAAATCTGAATATCAGGGCGCTGTTTTATTAGTATCAGAGAGTCCTTGGCCATGTCTTTTGTTCTTACTGCCATCTCTCAGAGAAGTCCCATGTACTATTTTTTTTAATAGCAAGCTAGTGTACATCATTTCTTTGCTCACACTGTACTGTTCATGGATTCTTTAAAACATCTTAAACTCAAATAGAACGGCAGTACTCCAGGCGGCAGGATTCCACAGTGCGCAGCTGATTGTAATGTTGCTGAAATAGTGTCTCGTTATCGGTGTCAGATCGTGTGGATTGGTGTTTCTCTGCCCTACCCTTCACCTTCACTGCCCTCCCTCCAATTCTCCCAGTTCTCTGATTCTTCCTGTGGGCTTGTAGTTTTGTTTGGTTTTAATTATTTATTAAGATTGATCCAGTTCAGAAGTTCTCATTGAGCTTCTCCACTTTGAGCCAAATGATTGTTCTCTCAGAGATCTGCATTTATAGGTTGTTGTTGTTAAGTGCCGTCGAGTGGGTTCCGTCTCATAGCAACCTTGTACAGGGTTTCTGAGGCTGTAAATCTTTACGGGAGCAGAAAGCCTCATCTTTCTTCCGTGGAACAGCTGGTAGTCTTGAACTGCTGACCTAAATGTTCACAGCCAGATTCATAACAACTACGCTGCCAGAGCTCCTTTGCATTTATGTGAGGGTAAGTCAAAATGTAGTACTACAAAATAGTAGAAACCGTTATTAAACAAAAATATCAAAATGGGAAGCTATTGTTTCTCCGCATGACCTCCATCTAGGTCTATCCACTTCTGGAGGCACTGCTTTCATCTCTCTGACCCTTCCCTGAAGAATTCCACGCTCTTCAGTTTACACCATGTCAAAATGGCCGTTCCTTTGGAACGTTCTTTGACTTTTGGAGAACAAAAGTTTAAAGGAGCAAGATCAGGGCTGTGGGTAGGGTAATGTTTTCCTGAGTAATTCTCGTGGGACCTTACTAAATAATCCTTGTAGAAGAAGCAGGTGCATAGCTGTGATGGAAAAAAGTCCTTGGCACAACTTTCCTGGTCTTTTATGACCAATGCAGTTTCCAATTTTCTTAAAATATCTATGCAATAAGCCCCCATGTGTGTCTTGTGTCCGTCAGGAAAATCTATCAAGATTACCCATTTGAAATCCCCACGAAATTGGCACCACCTTCTGAACTGACCTCTCTGATTTTGAATCTAACTGGTTAGAGGATGCCACCAGAGTCACTAGCTTTGGTTGGACCTGTTTTTGAAGGGACTCTAAGGGGACTAAGACAGTTGTATTATTGAGAGAACTTGTGTGCAGCCATTCACTGACCACAGAGACATGTTCAGACATGTTTTGAATAAAGTCGTGTGCATGTATGAACTAGAACTCTTGTAGTAATGCTTTAAAAAAAAAATGTGTTGGATAAAGGTTTGCAGAACACATCAATTTTGCATTCTGCAGTTGGTACATACTGTTTTCACTGCATTGGTTGTAGGCCACACAATGTAACATAATATTTCCTACTTCCTCCCTATGCTTTTTGTTTTCATTCTTCCTTTCCTAAGCCTTCTCAGCTTTGTCCTTAGGTAAATACTGCCCTTTTGACCTGAAATAATTGATTATTCTAAGGGGTATGTACCATAGTAGTGTTACTGTTCCCCTTTTAGATCTGTCTGTTGTCTGAAAGTTGAGCGGTGGGCGTGAGTTCATTTCCACACCAGATGGGTGACTAAGGGTCATTGTCTCTTTGGTCCCACCAGTCTCTATCGGATCTGAAAACCGGCTCCTTTTCTTTTCTCTCTTTTTTAACAGCAATACTTTCTGATTTACCCTCATATTTGAACTCACAACTCTAGCATGTAAAGATGTTAAGTTCTCCATACTCTGGCAATGTGTAGTTAAAACTGAAACAAGTCTAGAGACTCGCTCTCATGAGTTTGCCTGGAAGTTAAGAGTCAGACATGGATTTATGTCTGGACTCTGCCACTTAACTATTTCTTTGAGCTTGAACAAATTACTAAAACTCTGTAAGCTTCCATTCCTCTCATCTGAAATGGAAATAACAATAGTATCTACTTGATAGGGTAATAGTGAGGGTTGAGTGAAATGATTCATACAGAACTCGTCACATAGTACTGAGTGTCAGGCACTCTGTAAAAGTTCTCTGTCATTGTCACCCTCATGATCCTTGTTGTCAACACCTCCTCTTGGCAGCCGCCTCTGCCCCAGCTCTTCTTAGCAACAGCCTGTGTCTCTTTGGATGTTTGAAAATTACAGTGACAAAGTCTAGGAAGAGACCAGACCCAGAATGCCCCTGAGCAGGGGTAGGCAGTATTGCTAAGCAGCATTCATCATTCTTTCCATCTTGGGCATAGAGGCCCCAGGGTATAATGTCTTTGGCTATTAACTTGACCCATCCATTCATCCAGCATACATTTACGAGTGCTTTCCACATTCCAGGCATCATGCTAGATACTAAGTCTACGAGGGTGAATAAGACATAAGGGAAACAGGCCATGTAAGCAAATGCAGTAGCTGTTTCCCCGTCAGTACCTCTTATCCCAGACAGGTAGAGAACACGTTGGTCCTTACCACTGACAGGTAAAAACCCCTACTCTGACTGGCACTGAGCAACGCATCCTGAATCAAGCCACCTAGGTGTGCATTCTGCTGACGATAGCTTTTAAGACAGCACAGCACCAGGTCCCCAAAGAGAGCCGCATTGTTGCTATTATACAAACGCAGGCCAGCACTGGACATGATGAGTATTCTCTGACTGCTTAAACCCCAATTCTTCCATCTAAGTGTCATCTTTCTGCTGTAGGCATTAAGAGATTGATACATGGGATTTAGGAATGGGATTGAGCCACCTGATGATTTTTAAGAGTCAAGTAAGTAACAAGACATTGAACTCATTTTTAAAAGTCACGTAGCAAGTAAGCTATAATTCTGGTTCCTAAATTAAATGTGGTGATGGTGGAGAAATTTCAAGGACAAGGATAGTTACCAGTGATTTTGGCTGTGGTATAATTCTAGGTTATCAATACCAAGACAGACTTTGTACCAGAGCATATCAAGGACATTTTTTATGATGGGAATTGTCAGAATAGAGCTAGGATCTAAATCCCACCTCCTTCCTGCTGAATGTAGTTCTATAGTTGTTATAGTCTCTCTACCATAAAAACTGTATGTTCACTATATGGGCGGGGGCGCGGGGGTGGCGGGGACACGACGACTCGTGACTAAAGACCAGTTATTGATGGTTCACTATGAGTCAGAACCGACTCCACAGTACTTAACAACAACAAATGTGGCAGATAATTAATTTACATTTTTATATTTATGCAGATGACAACATGTATGTTTATCATTGATAGATGAGGTGTTTTCTCTTCTCTTTGGGGCAAACCATGCTTTCCCTGATGGCCACTCTCAGTATTGTGTCTTCTGTGCACAGGGAGGCTCATGCACTTGTATGCAGTGTGTGTGGACTGCCTGGAAGGGGTGCACAAGATCATCTGCATCAAGTGTAAGTCCCGATGGGATGGCAGCTGGCACCAGCTGGGCACTATGTACACCTACGACATCCTGGCCGCCTCGCCCTGCTGTCAGGTGGGTATCGACCCTACCCAGGGAGCAGTGGGTGATGCCAGGGGTCTGATCCAGGTGAATCAGGAGAGTTGGAAGCTGTGCTGTGTTGCTGTGGTGGTAGCATGGGGACCTGGAGGAAATGGTTCAGGACCTGAAGGAGAATCACTGCTGGTGAAATAAGCAGTCTCAAAGTTTCCCCACAGACCAGCAATGCTGGTGAATCAGGAGAATCCTCAACCTGGTTGCTGTTGAGGCAATTCTGACTCATGACGATCCATAGGGACTGAGTAGAACAGTTTTCAATGGCTACAATTCTAAAAAGGAGCTCTGGTAGCGTAGTGGTTACGAATCGGGCTGCGAACCGGAAGGTCAGCAGTTCGAAACTACCAGCTGCTCCGCGGGAGAAAGATGAGGCGATCTGCTCCCGTAAAGATTTACAGCCTCGGAAACCCTATTCAGGGTCGCTATGGGTCGGAACCGACTCGATGGCACTTAACAACAACAACAACAACAATTCTAAAAATTATCCAGTGAAAACTGTCTGGATCCCATTAGGATAATGCTCGGTATAGAGTTGGGAGAGGAGTTTCCTAGGTTGGAAGGCACTCAGAATGCACTGTGGCCACAACAATGAGCAACAACAATGAATCTGAGCATCACAAGAATTGGAAAGTGCTTCTGTTGTTCATGAATTGGAGCCGACTCAGAGACCACTAACAACGATAGCTTAGGTTTTAGACCAGTTTTTGGTAATAAAAGGGACATTTTACTAAACTCTTGATCAGTTCCCCAGATATACTAGTCTTGTGTTGTTATTTGGATGGTTTTGACAGGGGCGGGGGACACGCGGTGGGTGTCTTAGCTTACACTCTCTGTTTCCACCAGGCCCGCCTGAACTGTAAGCACTGTGGGAAGCCCGTGGTCGACGTGCGGATCGGGATGCAGTATTTCTCCGAATACAGTAACGTCCAGCAATGCCCACACTGTGGGAACCTGGACTACCATTTTGTGAAGCCATTCTCCTCCTTCAAAGTCCTTGAAGCTTATTGATGAAAGCTTTGCTTTAGTAATAGCTATTTTATTGATATTCTTACTTTATTACATATCTTTTCTAGGGAAACATGTGACATTAATTTCTTTTCTAATTTTAAGGAGAGTTCCTTTGTGTATGTGTGCCACTAACATGAGTGCTGCCCCCCCCCCCCCCCCCCCCCCCAGCGCTCTCTGATTCCCGAGTGTGTGTCTGTGGTCCTGACCAGAGTCCAAATGGGTAATCCTGTGAGTGTGGGGTAGTGAGTGGTCCACCACCATGAAGAGTCACTGATGGGGAGGATGAGGAGGACTGAAAGGGATGCTGTGGTTACAAGGTAAATGCATGGCAGGAGTTGGGAGGAAATATACCCCCAAAATATTCACTGTCCAAAGACTGACTGGTAGCTCTTCCTTGGGACCTGGGAAAAATATGTGACAAGTGAATGTAAGTCTGTCCCTAGAGAACTGAGAGTATATTTGTCTGTCTTGGCTTAGTGCTCTGCAGCACACGTTGACATGAAATTTACCCTCACTAACAGATTGCTTGAAAGTGACACTGAATGCTGAATCCATCACTATTGTAATTTAACCATCAGTTTTCCATTCTGAAAACAGTATCCAAATTATAAGAAGCTACCTAGGTGACAAATATTTTTAGGTAGCTGACCTATAGTAGAGTTTATGACAGACAGAAAGGGAGAAATGGCACATGCCTGATTCAGGAGAACAGAAATTCATAAATCTGTCATTTGAATTGTGTCTGGAATTGGTGGAAACAGCTCTGAAAGGGAATGCCTAGATGGCATGGTTTTGGTGGTAACGACTTAGCAAGTTGCTCTGTCATTGTGCCATTTGATATCAGCTTCTTCTTACAGGTAAACCTGGCAACTACAGAACCTAACTGGTGAGTTTCAGAACCAGTCATTGCCATCCATTATCACCCCCCAAACTTAATCTATTTAGTGCAAGTTTGCAAACTCAAGGAGGGAAATGGAATGTATTTTTTTGTTGTTGAGAGGATGATAAGGAAAACAACTTTAGTATCTCTTAAGTATGTTTAATTTTGAAAAAACAAAAAAATGCAGCATGTTTAAAAAAATACCTAACCCTCCAGATCCCCATTGTACGTTAGCCAGTTTAACCAGTTGCCATTCAGTCAGTTCCAACTCATGGTGACCCTATGTGTGTGTGTCAGCATAGAGCTGCTGGGCTCCGTAGGCTTTCCATTGGCTGCTCATTTTGAAGGAGATTTACTAGACTTTCTTCTGAGGCCCCTTTGAGTGGATTAAACTTTCAGCCTTTCAGTTAGCAGGCGAGTGATACCTTACCATTGGTGAATAGAGCTGTTAATATAGAAAACTTCATCAGTCAGATCATCAGGCTTTCCCAAATTCAGCCTTCTGATGATTTGAATGGACTCCTGGTGTGGATCTACACTGGACTGTGAACTATAAGGTCAGCAGTTCAAACCCACCAACCACTCCTCAGAACCCTTATACAGGGTCGCTATGAGTTGGAACTGACTTGATGTCACACAACTTAATCCCACACGTATACAGGATTGTAACTGGAGATACAGCTTCTCAAAAATGTATCATTTCAAGTGTGGTATTGCATACATGCTTATAAGGCTGAGAATGTTTTCTGGATAGTCACATTTATATGTTTTTAGTTACTCATTTGGCTTATACAGTTTTCTTTTTTTTTTTGAGAAACTGGTTTTTCCTTAGAGAAGTATTTTAGACAGCATTGTGGCTTTCAGTTCTACTAAATTAAATATATGATGTTTTGTCTGAAACAACACAGCATTAAAGAACCAGTCTTTCCATTTGGAAGATTGTCACTTGGTTTGCTACATCTGGCTTGGTGCTTGATGGTCTGAACAATATTTTACAAGGTGGGAAATGCTTAAAATGCCAGTGAGAAACAGAACAACTTTATTGGCCTGCTGGTGCTTGATTCCTGGTGTGTTTCTATAGAATCAGCACTAGACTGCAGACCACAAGGTCAGCAGTTCAACCTACCCGTTGGTCCTTGGAAACCCTATATGAGTTGTTACGAGTCAGAACCGACTCGACAGCAGTTAACAAGTGTCTGATTTACCAAAAGTGGTGTAGAGGACAGAATCTTTGCAAATTTGTCTTTAATGCACAAAACAAAACTGTAATTGTGAGTTATGTTAGCTCTTTCCTTACTGAGTCACTCATATACACAATTACAAAAATGGCTAAGTTTCTTGTCTTTAAAGTACCATTTGGATTTTGTTTCTGAATTTAAAATGACTAGTAAGATATTTGTAATGCTGTTCTTTAAGCCAGCTAAATTTTTATTGTGAAACTTGCATATCTTGTTCTGAAGCTTTTAAGTTTTCCAATAAGGTTACATTCAGAAAATTCCTGTCTAAACCTATAGTGTTTGCTGCACTTAGTGTTTTCTCCTTATCTTGTTTTCAATCCCTTGAAAATAAGTATGGTGAGATTTCACTGTAATTGGGTGAATTTTCTTGGGGCCTTTATCTTAATGATGAAACTAGGAATTTATAGAGGCTGCAGTTAAGTGCAAAGAAGCTTCCCTCCCCAGGTGTCATTCCTGAGGTTGTCATTTGCCTTTAAGGCATTACATTCTTGTTTAAAAGGGAAAATTAGGCTGCCTTGAGAATAGAATAAAATTTGAGTGTTCCACTGTGAAGATGAATCTTATTTTGGAAATCTACTGACTTTAGTAATTTCCGTAAGCTTTTTCAAAATCATTTTTCCTGAGTACCTTGATGAGAACTGAAACATGTCAAGAAAGATGAATTTTGTATGTGGCTAGAAAGGAGTTTTGGTATGGCGCTGCAGGATAATGCATAACAAGGTCAGTTTGGACCACAAGGTTGGTAGTTCAAACTCACCAGCCACTTCCTGGAAACACTTTGCAAGGTCACTGTGAATTGCAGCCAACTCACTGGCCCTTAACAACAACAGGACATTAAAGGGTGCTAGGCACCCATGTGATCCAATTTTTGTTTTTCTGTTGCTCAGGTCAGTAATATGAACCATTATTAGTAATTTTATATTGAGTTTTTCATCTGCTCTAACATTTATTCATTTCTGTTATCATTAATTTTACGAGTTATATACCTTGAGCTAACAAAATGATCTCAGTGAACTCCAATTGTTTGGTGAGTAGACAGTTCCTGGTGTCTGAGTGTCTCCTCTGCAGGCCACACTCTCTCCTGGTTGTATCCAAAACAGTTGATGTGCTGGGTTTATACCTTGATTACCCCATGTTTATTGAGGAAGAGGTTTTCCCAGACATCCTTTTCTTTACCAGTTTTTGTTAGAAGAGATTCACTTTCCAAACTAAAGGTATTATTTTGGTTTTGTTTTCCATCTGTTTGGAGAAATTAACTCATCAAGAAGGAATAACAAGTGTTGAACCTTAAAACTAACAAATATACATAACATGATATACACCTCCAAACCTAATTTGCTGAAATCCTTAACTGCAGTCTCTGCTCCTGTGTGCAGGCCAGTAACTCCATTCTGTTTTTCTATTCAGCTCCAGATTACAAGCAGCCCTTGAGTAATTTTAAATGGAAGCTGGGGTGGAGGTGGGGAGAAAGTGCTCCTGTTCATTGCTTTGGCTCTTACAGTTCATCTCCATGTACTGCTGACTTTATCATTCTTCCAGGTCACCGAAAGAAAGTCTAATGGGTGGACACCGTTAGAGCCAGCTCAGAAATACGTGTTGTCAGTAGAGATTTCTCGTCACTATGTCTTGGAATGCACTTTGGTTGAGGGAAGACGGTGTAAATAGTTAAAGAATGTTGATAAAATTGAAACATTTGGTTATGGAATTGCTGTGTGTGGTGTTTAGAGGGTTTCTGTTTGTGAAATATATGTCTCAAAAATAATAAAAATTTCAGAAGCTAATATACTGTCTCGTGTGTCATTTTCTTTTTTGTATGGATTCAAAAACTTTTAATCAGTGGCATTATCTGGTTGGAAAAGATAGTAGAGATGTTTTCTGGTGTATTTTATCACTATCCCAGTAACCATTTCTTACCCGCTACTATAGCTAATAAAAGATAGGCTTTTGTGTGTGTGCTGTTTGAGAGTGGTCCACCACATCTGTGAACTGCTTTACAACACAGGGAGCATTCTATATAAAGATGCCACGGAGAAAAGTCCAAGTAAGCATAGTCCAAAATTACTGCTTTGGTTATAGAGAACTCTCTTGAATACATAATCCTGTCCTATACATGCTTTCTTTGGTTCATTACTTTTTATAATAAAAGGACTTGATTGTATGTGTGTCATTATCAAAAAAAAGAGAAAACTGAGTCACAACTAAGCTTCTTGCTGACTTTATGTACTGTGATAAAGTATAATTTATCCTTCAAAACTCTTTGTCTACTTTGTTTCAGATGGCATTTTTAGCCAATGGATTGAAATCCACAAAAATATTAGAACACAGTTGATAAGATACAGACACTTGGGTGAAGAAAGACTCTTTCAGACTCTGCTTGTGGAGTCAAAGCATGCATTGCCATTAATTATTATCGATGTCTGAGGTGTACATTTTATTTTATGGACTTAGGATATTTTGGTTTCTACCAGTATAATATATGTCAACTAAGTTCCATGGCACTTGTAAGGGAAATGCAAGAACAAACGAAGTTAAAGAGAAAGGAATGACATGTAATGGAAGAAAATGATTCTTTGTTCTTTAGTCATCTATATTTCTTTAAATCTTGCTTATATTGTTTTGAACTTAAAGTTGGCAGTAATTAATTGCTAGTCAGGCTAGTACTCTAGTAAAGTGGTTAACTTTGTAAGGAAAACAAAAACAGGTTTTAAGTTTGTGTTCTTTTCCTCTGCTCTTCAATTCTTGTCTCTGTGTGGGATAAATCTTGTGTAATGAATCTGAAATCCCTGTGGAGAGCATGAAGTCCAGATACGGTATTTGAGAGAAAACACTGTGTTTAAGGCAGCTTCCTCCTATGGTAAAAGTTACTTGGAGCACTGTGGTCC